GGTGGGCGGCAGGGAGTTACAGAGAGTGTCCTGATACATGTAGAACACTGACAACATCTGTAATAGGTGATGTACTGAAATCCTCACAGTACAAGATTTCCAAGTGCCTTGTAGTCTGAAATTAAGGCCATATTTCTTTGCCATCAGGGGCTTGTTACAGATTTAGGCATTTGGTGAACTGCATAATGAGATGTGGGCAATAGCACTTCTTTTTACTTGCGTGTGATTTTCTTTAAAGTTAGCTAACGCTGTTTTTCCCTTTGCACAAATTCTGTCCATATGTCTTTATGGCCAGTTTTCCAAGGTTCAGAATCTCTTGAGTGGATTGATTGCCTGCATAGTTAATCTTTGCAGGTTTTTGATACAACACAAGTATGAGAGATGCACAGACCTTAAGACAATCATTTGTGAAGCACAAGTGAAGAAAATTCCTGACTTAAATGTTCTGGTCAAGACAGAGACTTTTTTCCAAGTGTTGTAGAAACCTTTAGCCTGGTTCTGTTTGCTAAATAATAATGTGATGTAACAGGTTAGTAAGTACTCAGTATGGTAGTGTGTGAATTTACAGCACACCAGCTACTCTACACAAGCTCCCCATGGGATGCTCTGAGTGTGCACTAACTTTGAGTTATCTGTAATTTACAGTAAATTATCTTGCACAAAGGCATTCTTACTGCACAATTTTCAAGCTGGCATACTACTTACTACTTACTTACTACTCAGGAAGTCTTAATGAGTAAAGTGGCAGCTTGTCACCAAATAAGTAATGCTGAAATAGAAAAAATAAACAAAAATTATAATGTTAATTTTTTATCCTTCAGAGTCGTTTCAATCAGCATCTCAGTAACCAGGATTTTGCCTTGGATGAAGATGATGATGATGAAATAGAGAGAACAAGCAAGTAAGAATCCTGTTTGGATGTGTGTGTATGCATGGGAGAAAGGGTAACTAGTGTTATTCAGCAAAGTTGAATTCAAGTGACACTTTTTCTCCTGTCCAGGCTGGTAGCTTGGTTCTTGATATAGATGATATCAAGTAGTTTAGGATTAAATCTGCTTTTAAAAAGAAGGACAGGCTATTATATCTTTTCATTATTTATTAGTACCTAGAAGAGCTTGACATAATCCTCAGTCTTCACAGACTCAAGATAAAAACATAGGCTACATACACAAAGAAGCAGCGAAATAATATTCGTTAACAGCTAATCTACTCTTTAAGCCTTGTGTTCTAGTCATGACAATGGAAGGTTTTCTAAAGGCTCTGAAAGAGAAATAGTACCTTTTGAGTTTATATCAAGGTCTTCCTATGTGTGAATTAACGGAAAATTGTAAATTGAGGCTTAGGCTGCATTGACGCATTCTCTGATTGAATTCCAGAGACAATTTTTGATAGTGAAACCTATGAATATAAACCATGAAGCATCTTTGAAAACCAAGTCAAGCAACTTGAGTCATGATGCAGTAGGGAAGGGGGAGCTACTGAAGTGTTCAAAGAACATCATCACAACAGTGAGCCATGGAAATACCCTTTGTAGTGGTACTCTGGATAGACAGAGATTTTTGCAGTAGTGTGGGGGTCAGAGGTAAGGGTGTTGCAATGAATGAAAGAGAAAATAAGAGACAAAAGCACCAGTTCTTCTTGCAGATGGGCAGTACTCCAGTAAATGTGGTCGTACGACAGAAGAAGAGTTGCGGTATGAGAGTCTTGCCACTAGAACAAAGTATATGGCTAGGTCAGCTGGAGAGGTGTAGCAACAATGACCTAAATGTAAGGTGTAGACAAGGGAAAAGAGGAACCGATTTTGGAATAACTGTAAAATTTGGAGGGAAGATTTAGGAAGTCATATTAAGGGTGAATTGAAGTAAGTTATAGTGGTTGGGGAAGAGCCAGGAGACGGAAAACCAGCTGATGGTAGCTACATCTCCATAGATACCATACATCTATGTTTAGGAAAATTCTTGAGCAGAAAGAAACTCCAGGCCTATGATTCCTTTCAAAAGCCTTGGAACGCATTCTCCTACTTACTTTCAGAAGTGGCTGTAATAAAATGACATTTATGTTCCTAGCTGATGGAAGAGTTTTTGTTTTCAGGTTATCATCAGAAGACAGTGAAGAAGCTTCTGCTTACTTTTATGATAGTGACGATTCTGGTGAAACTGGAATAGCTCCGCAGCATCAAGGTGAAATGGACTTGCTTGGGGAGATTTTGGACACGCTGAGCACACACAGTTCAGATCAAGGAAAGCTGTCGGGAGCAAAGAGCCTGGATTTCTTTAGGTCAATGGATGACATTGATTACAAGACTGCGGTTAGTCTTCTGCTTTCATTTGAAAAACAACTTCAATCCCTTTATAGTGGAATTCTTCATTTGTGGAGTTAACAACATGCAGCTCAGACACTGCAACATGGTCCTTAGAATTGCTAGTGTGTCTTCCTAGGGCTACGCAACAGTACAGCCATGCTGGCCACTGCACGATGGTTTCACCAGCCAAGAAATTGGTTACACGTTTGTCCAGTTTACTAAGTCATCTTGGAACAGTATTTTCCCCTTATAACAGTAACCACATACAAAGCTGTGAATAATGTAGTAATTTACCTAATCAAATAGTTTAGTATTATATTTAGCTCTTCAATCTGGTATTCCCAGAGCTGGTTTGAGTCTTTTTTTTTAATGCGGTTTAGAAGGTATTTATTTCCATTTTCACCTTGCATCCTTAAAGTAGTCATAGAGATTTGATGATATTTTCATCTTAAGTCATGGGATCCATGTGGTAATTGCATCTGAAACACTGCTACAATAGTACTCCAGAGCTTTCCAAGAGGGCTTCTTGATCCTTTCTTAGGTAGAATTGCATAGGACCTATAATGTAAAGAAACTGCTTGCCTACAACTTTAAAATCCTCATCAAGTCACTGCTGTGATTTTAGCCAAAACAATGTGAGTGTTTTTGAATTCCCTCATATCAGCTGTCCAACATTTTCTTTTGCTGAAAGGGATCCTGTAGTAGATGATTTGTTACTGGAACAGTGAATTCTGATGCAAATGTCTAAAAAGCTTGTAAAACTCTGTATTATGAGTGTCACACAGGGGTCACATTAATAAAATGCCCATTTTTGTTTGGCCAAAAAAATTTAATATTGAAAGTTGGTATAATTAATTACTGAAGCAAAGAGGAAATGCCATCTGGTTTTAGTTTTAGTCCAGCTCCTTTTCATACTATGGGTACAAAGAAGCAAAGTGTGTCTTTGTTCACTGTCAGAACTGCGTGTGCAAAGACTGAATGGACGGGGGAGACGGAAGTCCTTCCTCTGTACAAAAGGCAATCCTTAGGATAAGGAACAGAGCATTCTGACGAGGAAGTGTAAAAACACTCAGTCTTACATTGTTTCTGGGATTGTCGTTTTGTAACATTGAACCCCAAATGGGATCCATGATTTAGGAACACGCAAAATCCATTACAGTATTTTTGTTTCAAAGGTGCCAGTGTAGAGACGTTTCTGGTGACATTAACTATAAACATATTCCTTCTTTCAGAACAAGTCCAATGCACCTAGTGAGAGCAACCTTACCCTGCTCTGCAGCAGTGCTAATGATCAAGCAGAGTGGAACCTTGGTCAGGATGACAGTGTCCTCCATGGGAAGCAGCTCCCTCCATCGCCAAGGAAGCAAGTTTCTTCTGGTGGCCATAGAGAATCTCTCTCAAGGCTGGAAGAAGAAGGTAGTGACAAAACCTTTATTACTGACAAGATGGACACCACTAGTATGACATCTCCATCTCCAGTACGATCACATGCCCGGTTTGCTTCTCTAGAAAGTTTCAATGCAGGCTATTCTTCCTGTAAGTATGCAAAGCAGAATGAAACACTAAGCAATACCTCAGAAGATCAGCTCCAAGCAAGTCTTGCTCAACATCCATCCATTCTAGTCCCTTGGGAGAAAGATGGGAAGGAAGGAAATGAAACTCCAGAAGAGGGTGGGCTTCTTCAAGAAGTGGTGTCATTATGTAAACTGAGTTCTGCTTTTCACTATGGTTTAAATATTTCAAAGGATAGCTTATCCAGCAGCAGCAGTGGAAATAAAACGTAAGAAAACTATGAGAAGAGAAACTTGACTCCCATCAGAAGTTAAAGGGAGGCTACTCAGGACTCCATATAATTCCATATAACATGATAACCAAAAGATGAAAATAGAATAAGAGATCTTTGATTATAAAAATAATTCTCTTCAGTTGAGTATGCATCTTCTGCCATTGGGACATCTGCTTCTGTGTTTACCCAGTTCATTTGTTGGCTGTAGTTAGGTCCACAAAATGGAACTAAATATATGAATGCACTCTTAAATCAGGTACTAGTTAGTCTCTGTGTTAAAAATACAGCAAGTGTATGGTGCTTCCTAGCATTTGCTTCCTCTAAGCAGCAGGAAAGGTGTCACCTAACAGGTAACCAGGTTTTGAAGGTACTATTTTAATCCCATTAAGCATGAAATGAACCAAGCAATCTGATTTGTCTGAAATGTACAAATGTTAATATTTGTAATGAATAATAAATGCCTTAATCTTTTGAGAAGAGGATTAACTATCTTAGAAGATGAATGCAAATCTACAAAACAGCAATAATGATTTTTCCATGGCAAGAATTTGCTTCAGCAAAGATGAGGGAAAAGGAAACTTTTTTTAGATTAAGGAACTTCTTATGAATATATAACTTGGAACTTACTCCAAACTAAAACTGTGGCCCTGTCTTCCAGACTTTGAAAAGGTAGCGCATGCTTTTGTCTCTTCTGTAAAGTACATGAAGTGCTGAATTATAATGTGACATTTATTAACTTCTGTTTACAACTAAGACACTTTAAAGAGATATTATCCGGTTTCCATAGCTAGACTATTTTACCTAAAAATTTTCAGAAAGGAAAGTGTAAGTGGAATTGATAGATTTCTATTATTTTTTATTTTCTACAGTTTAATAGTGTTTGAGAACAAATTTGTGCCTCTTCTGAATTATTTTCTTTCCATTTTTAGTAGCTACCTTTTTGAAGGTAGATTGAATTACTGTTACTTAGAAGTCATATTTAGTTAAATTATTAGAGTCATGCTGAAAATTACTTGTAACACTAGAAGACTAAAATTACAGATTCAGCTTGAGATTGCATATATCCAACTCTCATTTTAGCCAAGTTGAACAACCAAAAATCTCTTTCTGAATTCAGTGAAGGAGAATAAATGGACTTGATGTATATTGTATTTAGAATAAGATTTATCCTTCTCCTGGCAGTGTTCCTGAGAAATATTTGGATATTTAAAGTCTGAGAATTCTTGCTGCTTTAATGAGCAGCTCTTTCCTTTTAAAATTTTTTTTAGTTTTGCCTCCCCTTTTCTTTTTCCACCTCTCCACCTTACCATACATACATTGTCCTCCACAATAGCTCAGGACACGAAAGGCATGAAGTAAGTTTCAGTGGATTGGAGTTGTCAGCTTTGAAGGATATTTGTGATGCAGTTGGCAGAAGTAACAGATAGGTATGAAATGAACTGTGCCTGAGAAGAATACTCTCCTGCTCTTCAAAACTCCTTTTTTCTTTCTTTCCCCCTTTGACATGAATGGTTAGTCTTAATCTCAGTAGGGGCCTGAGTGAGCACATTCATGAGATCAGTATTTGGATCAGATTGCGCTTTAATTTCTTCATAGTAGTTTGTAGCAAAGTTTGGTATCAGTTGTCACATTGAGATTTATGAATGAATTTTCCTTCTAGCTAACACAAGTGGAAAGGGTATTTTTGGCTGCTGACCTAAGGGAGAATGGATCCATATCATTATAGAGGCAATGTTTGATTCTTTACCAAAGAGATGCAGTAGAGTGAGACCTTGGCATTGTTAATGCAAAAGTTTCAGCTTGTTCCAGAATAAGAAGGGCTGGACCAGTATTGTCATTGAGGATGAGCCTCCAGAATTACTTTTTTTAATCAGTGCAATGAAGATAAAAGGTTGTAAAAGTGCAAACCTTGCAGAAATATCTGTGTCTGGTTAGAGCATGAACATTCCTAAGGGCATCTGCAATCTGCATTGCTGGAGAATCCCAGTATTCCAGAGTTAGGGGTTGTATGTCCAGAGGTCTGTACTCCAAAGTATTTATCTATCCTTTGGTTTCCTCTGGTGTATCAACACAGTATGTTGTGGATTTTTTTTTTTTTTAAGTAACATAAAAATGTTATTTGGCAAAATATTTTGCACTATTAAAAATCAAAAGTATCATAAAAATGATTTAAAATCTTCAGTCTAAACTTCCCAGGTGGGTCAGACCAGGTGGTTCAGGTGCTGTTCAGATGAGAAAGCTGCAGACTGGCCTCATGGATACTTGTTTAGAGGTGGTATTAATGACTCAGTAGAGGCCATTCGTATCCTTTGCTGGTACTAAACATTACCCAAACATCGTGCTCCCAAGAGTGTTTAAGAGAAGACAGGCAACACAAAGATGTTTGTTCTTGCAGCGCCTCTGACTCAATCTCATTCATGTCCTTGCATTTTGTTGATGAGAATTTCAAGATGCACCTTTTCCTCTGGTGTTTCTGTCCACGGTTCCATCTAAGATGATGTTTTGTTTTCTTCATTTATTAAGGATAATAAACAGGATTAATGTCTTAAGGAGAAAAATAGAAAAAACTTGGAATTATGGCCATCGCTACTTTCAAAACCATCAAACACATAAGTCCAGGAATGCTGCCAGAAAATGGTTTTCAAAAATGCCTCTCTGATAGAAAAATCTTACTGGCTTTACATGAGAGTTAGGCACTGAATTCCTATTGTCACATAGATTGTCCCATTCTCACCTTTGTGAAAAAAAAAAAAAAGGAAGCTATGTGGGGCTGCTAATATTCTTATAGTTATTATCAGGATCATAAAATTGAAAGTTCAGTAGTGGAATCATTCAAAATCAAGGCATTGTGGTAATAATTCACTGTTTCATTGAGTGAAAATGCAGGCTGAATAGAAGTAAACAGATGAACTAAAAGATGGAAGGTAAAATTCAACTTAGAATTATTTTTATTTCAGTCAAAATGCTAGTTACTGTGTTTATGCCACATTGTTTCTGTACTATTTATAAAGCCCATAGAGTGTTTACAGTCATTAAATAGTATTGTCTTTTTTGGTTTTGAACCTTGTATGGGTTCAGAAATAACTCAGTTTTATATCTATGTTGAATTAACTGTAGGTACATTTTTTTAAACTCTATAATATTACAGAATCTTTTCCACTTACTATCAGTGATCTTTTAAAAAGGCTAATATTTGTGCCTTATTTAAACAGAACTACCGGTTACCAAATAGATAAGAATCCAAAATGGTATTTCTGGTTCAACACTGTTGCTCTCTGTCCTTGTGATAATATGAAACTGTTTATTGGCTACATATACAGTATTTTTATTACCACATTGGGTTCTATATTAAGATAAATTGTCCAGGTCCAATACTTTTTACAAGTTTTACACTTGTATGCTTTTTATTTGTGGAAATCCTTCTAATGTCTTTGAAAATCATCAATGTTCATTACCACTACCAGTGAGAACCGAATTCTGCTCAGTCAGAGCTCCTGTGGTCTTCTTCAGAGGCACCTCCTTACTTCAGGATCTCAAAAATCTTTCCATTTCTCCTGTTTAAGGGAGATACTAGGTTATTTGATTAAGCTTGCTTACTTACCTAAGCTTAGTGTTACTTACACATAGGAACAAATTTCTGACGTAGAAAGTCACACTAGGACTTGAATTTAGTATCTTCGAGTTTGTTTTGCATAGATGTCTGCCTGAAATGAGCCAAATCACTCATCTGGCTTGGGAGGAAAAAAGTAAGGACAGTAGAAAGGGAAAGGGATTCCTGGGTTGTTCCAGTGGGCTGTGGTGAAGCAGAGCCTGGGAGTCCTCAGGAGGGATAACAACTTTGAGAAAATACAGATTTCAGGATGTTGTTTAATGTTCTAGCTCAGTTCTAGCGATTCCAACCCAGCCACGTAGGCAAAAGTAATATTGCCTATGGAATTCATCCCCTGTGGGGTTTGCAGAATGGATAATATGTTGTCCCAGTCAAAACCTTCCCATCCATGTGTATAGAGGTGCAACACGTGAAAAACAGTGCAGATATGCAGGGAAGGACAGTACTGTGGATGCAGAGGTGATCCCTACCCACCCTCTATGCATGCAGAGGGCAGTCTGTGTAGAGTAGGCAGTGGTTTGCTCTTCCATCCCACGTATTTGGGCATCATGTAGTTCTGAAAAAATAGGCTTGTTCTGAAGGAAAAATGTAGTTGTAGAAGTTGTCATAGTCCTTGTTGACTGAACCCTTCATTGTCATTTAGAGTTTTGGTGATACTGCTACTGTTTTGGTGAGGTCGTCAGAAACTCTCAGCACTGGCTGAAGTCCCCTCTCAGGCATTGTAACACAGACTTCAGCTGGAGTTTTAGACATATGCTGGGTGCTTTTGAAAATCCCACCCAATCTATTAGAGGAGTGTTTTAGATCTCAAAAATCTGTTTTAGATGTCTTTTCAGGTTTTAGAATGAGCTAGTTTACAACGTTGTGTTCTTGTAAACGACGTGAAGTCTAGATCAAAGAACAGTTAAACTAGGTTTTTAAAATAGCTTCTCTTTCTCCACCTACAATCAATTGTATTCAGTCCTACAGAACAATCTTTCATTGGTGCAGCTGTCTAATGGAATTGCTAGGAGCATCTAAAAACTTTTCTCTATGCATGTAATTAATTGAAGAAACATTTCATGCAATAATCGAAGTGCCAGCATGAGGCCCTTTTGCAAATGCAGCCCCTGTGTAATACTGACTGTAGTACCCTGTCCTGCAGAAAGGAGCCCCGTGACCGCTGACCTCCCTGCCTCTGCAGGGAGAGGTGAAGGGTGGCCTTTATTTCCAAGGGAGTTAGCATCTTCTCTCTTGGTGCCAGGCTCTAGTCCAGGTGCTGTGAGACTCCAACCAGCATGTTCCCAACAGCCTGAAATTTCAGGCTAAACAAATGTGGCTAATAAAATTATGCCTCAGGCAAGCAGCTTCCTTATTGCAAAGCTCAGGATGGTGAAGGCTGGCTGTTCCCATGGTGTCACAGTAAATCTTTGGAGAATGAATGAACGTAGAAACAAATGCACCAGCAAAAACAGTAT